TTAAAGTCTCATTTAAAGGATGCAGACAGATGGGGAGGAGACCTCTGAATTGCGAATTCCCCTCTAAACTTGCCAGAGGTGCCCTTGCAGTGGGGTTTAATGTCACTTTGTCCTTTGTGCGTGGTCCTCCTGTCCCTGGCAGTGACCTCCAGGGTGTCACGAGACTTCTGCTGGTGGCTCATGGGCAGGAAAAGCTGGAGCTTGTTTGTACCTGGGGCTGGATCTGAGTGCCTGGAATTTCAACTGCCAAAGGGAATAACAAATCTAATCCTCCAATGGACCCTGCCCCTGTATCACTGCCTCTTCAGTCCTTTAATCCTCCCTGCCCTGCTCTCAGCCTTTCCTCCAAGGGCAGCCCTTTGCCTGCTGATGTCTGCTTTTCCCTCCTGCCTTCTCGTTCCTCCCTAGTAATTCAGCTTCTTTGCTGTACAGAGCGACCACAGGAGCTTATTCCATAAGGAATTCCATATTCCATAAGGAATAAGCTATCCCAGAAGGCTGGAAAGAACATTCTTAAATGCCCCATCCACCCATCTCTTGTGCAGAAGAGGTCTGTACTGAGCTTGTGTATATGGTTCCACATGCCTCTGTGTTGCATGCAGGCACTAAAATACATGTGGCTGGAAATAGAAGCTAGCTGCTTTATTATGGGTGTTCTGAGTCTGATTAGGAAGGAAACAAAGCCGGTGCTTAAACCCATTTTAAGGCTGTGTATGCTGCTCATGTTGAATGTATTTCATGGATTCCTTTCCTAGTGCATCCCTAAAGCTGTACGTGGTAGCTGGGATTCGTAACCTAAAAGCCATTAATCTGCAACAGCATTGCACCAAAGAGGACAGGGCTGAGCAGAGCTGCAAGGAATGGGCTAGAAGCGTTTAGAGATACATGGACAGTTAAAGGAGGCTTTAAAATCCCTGCTTGCTGCAGCCCCGGGAGCTCTTCCCTTCGTTATTGAGCCGTAATTCCTGAAGCAGTTCAGTTAGTGCCGCTCGGAGCGGGAGTGCTCTGGGTATCCCTTGGGGAGAGCACAAAATGAACACTGGCTTTGCTGCTCCTATTGATCGTGGGCACGAGATTAAATTAAACTCAAGCAAGAAACCAGCTCCCGAGTTCTTCGGTGAGGAAATCTAATGGCTTTTATTCAACAGGGTTTCATCTCATTTGCTTTCCATCTGCATCAGGGCTGTAATCGGGCCCCAAGCCTCAGCAGGGGCACGGTCCCATCATGTGCAGATCCATATAGGTAGAAAAGAAAGGATCTCTTCTTTGTGCCCCTGACTTCCCCATGTCTCCAGCAGGAAGCCCATGAAGATTAGCAGCTCTCAACATGAAACGAGTGGGTTTTACCTGCTTGCTGTTCTCTCTGATGCAAGGTGAAGAGAACCATAGAATCAGCTAGGTTGGAAAAGACCTTTAAGATCATCAAGTTCACCCAAGAGGCAACATAGACATGACAGGAGGGGAATGGGGTCAGCAGGAGCAACAGGGATTTGCAGGAGGTCCCATAGGGTTTCCATGGGGAAAATCAGAGCAAGATGCCAGATACTTTGGCACTGCCACTCTCCTGGATCATCCCTGGGCAGTGGACCCAGGCTTTGTCTTATGCACCAGGGGATGTAAGATATGGGGACCATCATGGGGGGATTGCAGCTTGCTTGTAGTCATTTGGGGGATGAAGAAGAGCCAACAAGCCTAAATCCTATTGAAAAATCTAAAAGGTATAGAAATATCTCTTGTATTTCTAAACCCAGTGTTGAGGTTTTAAACCCAGGGGTTTGAGTGCTGGGTATTCTCAAGCCTGTTTCACCTGGCACATATTGTCACAGGTTCTGCTTCTCTCTTATCTTTCATTGTCTCCCCAAAGCAGCAAACCACCAGTAATTTCCCTGCTCTTTTCCCAGCTCCGTTTCCCCTTAAAATAGAAAGGACAAGTTTTCTTGCTGGAGATCAGCACTTCCCAAAGGTTATGAGAGCAGAGAGGAAGATAGAGCAGAGCAGGGCTGGCTGCATCTTTCCACGTCCGAAGCTATTAAAGCTTCCTTGATATAAGTGGCATTTATCTGGAATGAAATGATCCTGAAACAGGCCATCACTTGCTTTCAGAACAACAAAAGATGCCACAATAAGCAAGATGCACTCCTACCAAGCAGAAGTTAAACCCAAAACAAAGAGAAAGAAGAGCTAAGTACACAGATACCCTCTGCCTGAAATCACAGAATCATGGAATGGTTTGAGTTGAAAGGGACCTTAAAGCTCCTCCAGCTCCACCCCCTGCCATGGGCAGGGACCCCTTCCACTAGAGCAGCTTGCTCCAAGCCCCTGTGTCCAACCTGGCCTTCAACACTGCCAGGGATGGGGCAGCCACAGCTTCTCTGGGCACCCTGTGCCAGCGCCTCAGCACCCTCACAGGGAAGAGCTTCTGCCTTATCTCCAACCTGAACTTCCCCTGTTTCAGTTTGAACCCATCACCCCTTGTCCTATCACTGCAGTCCCTGATGAAGAGTCCCTCCCCAGCATCCTTGTAGCCCCCTTCACACACTGGAAGCTGCTCTGAGGTCTCCACACAGCTTCTCTTCTCCAGGCTCAACAGCCACAACTTCCTCAGCCTGGCTCCATACAGGAGCTGCTCCAGCCCCTGCTCATCCTCGTGGCCTCCTCTGGCCTCGCTCCAACAGCTCCATGTCCTTCTTATGTTGAGGACCCCAGAACTGCACCCAGTGCTGCAAGTGGGGTCTCACAAGAGCACAGTAGAGGGGCAACTCTACACAGAGTTACAACCCCATGGCAGGGAGTTGGAACTGGATGCTTTTAAGGTCCTTTCCAACCCAGACCATTCTAAGATTCTATAACTACTGCAGTAGTTTATGGGATTCAGGAATTCTTTGAGGGGATTAATGAGCAGCAAAGACCAGAAGAACCTCTTGATGCCCCAGGAGGTTCTCATCTAGATCCTATCCCTAGATGATGAGCAAGGGACTTGCCAACACCATGGCATGCACGCAAGGCTATCAGCGCCTGAGGAGGTAAAACCCGGTGTAGAAACACAGTTGAGAGAATTACAGGGAATATAATTGACCACTTTTGTGGTCAAGAAGGGAGTTGGAGTTGGTTTAACGCCCCCAGCCAGACTGGTCAGGAGATCATTGAGCTTGAGAGGCAACCAGAGGACCTCGGAGCATTGGATATACTGGAAAAGAAAGGGTTATGTTCTGATGAAGCAGCGAGGAGGCAGGGATGTTTCTGATTTAAGATCTTCCTCATTAATGTTCTGCTTGCAATCACAGGATCTGCAAATAACTGTGCACGGAGCTTCTTGATTGCTCTGTATGTGCCTGCCTCCGATGCCAGCATGGTTTTATGTAGCCTAAAAAAGCCAAACACAAAGTCTGTTAAACTGCTGCTTATCCAACATTAACTCCAGCAATTTTTAATTAACCTGATTTAGAAGCCAAATATATCAGTGATGAAAATGAGAGGGTAGAACACAGTCATTTATTCCAGCCCAGTGGTCAGGAGTGGTGCATTAGATTTATTCCGATAAACCTCCCCACTTTGCCGCAGGAATCGGCTCTGTGCCGGGTGCCAGGTTTGAGGAATCTGCACCTTGCTAAGGAGCAAATGAGCTTTGGGCCATGGGAGGGAGGGATGGAGCCGGGTTTCATCTTCCTGCTCGGAACGGGGGAGGAAAGACCCACCCCTGCTTGTGTTTCATAGAGCAAAATCAAGGCGATGGGTGTGAATGGGCGCTAATTGCCGCTTTGCAGCCTTTGCTGGCAACCAGCAGGCAGCGTCAGTGGAGCTTGGCGTGGAAAGACTCTCCAAGGGTCGTTTTGTCTGCCATGGGGTTGGTTGTGCTCTGGGCTGGTGGCCAACGAGATGCACAGATAAAGCAGGGCAGTGGCCGTGGCGGGGAAGCACAGCAGAGGCAGGCTCTGCCAGCAGAGGAAGACGAACGTGTTCCATTCGGTGTGTCAGAGGGAGTTACGCAGGAGCACGTAAGAAGGGATGGGGTTATCCGAGTGTTGCCATTTCCAGTCGGGAAGACTTCCAAGAAATGGAAGTGAAGCAGTAAACAAAAGCAGACCGGAGCAGATTGAGGTGTGGAGGCTGTTGTCTGGGGTCTTAGAATCATAGAATGGTTTGGGTTCAAAAGGGCCTTAAGATCATCCGGTTCCATCCCCCTGCTGTCATGGAGGACAAGAGCTTCTAGTTCAGTGCAGGACATCTGCACTGTGCATAGGTGCACGTAGGGCCTTGGCTCTGCAGTGGTTTCCAAGCCTCCATGTGTCTGAGTGCTTTGATGTTTTCCCCTGACCTCCCTATGACCGATGCGAGTGAGGATGATGAGAACTGAAGGTGCTCTGCAACCTTTCCTAAAGTGCCCATTAAAGCCTCCTGTGGCTTCAAAGGGTAGGAGCTACCGCGTGTGTTCCTTCCAGGTGGCCTGGCAGGTAATCGTGTCCCTCCCAGGCTGGCACTTGTGCAGCCATGGGTGAATATTGGGGCTGGCAGCTTCTCATGCAGCCTCTTCACCTTCCCTTTAGCAAGAGGCTCTGGTTAATGCAAGTGCTGTGCGCTGAGGACTCGAGGGTGCTGAGCTCTGCGAATGCTCCAGTGGTCAAACCGTGATGGCTGCGAGCAGCCAAGGGGAGCCTTTCAAGCAGAGCTGTGCTGGTGGCTATCCCAGAGCTCCATTCTGCATTCAGTGTGTGGATTTCCTCCCTGGTTTCCTGCAGAGCGCATGGAGCATTCCTGTGTTCTGCATTCTGGTCGTTGCACTCCTTTTGTAGAGGAATAGGGGTGAAATATTGATGGGGTCACTTGTAAGCCTACGGAGCGCATTCAGAGTCCTTCCTGTAGCCTGAGAATACATCTGGGCTTTGGCTCTCAGCTGTGCCCATGGCCTCATTGCACGCACAGGTTGTGTGCTGCTCCCCAAGGATGCTGTCCTCTTCTCTCCGTGTTATGAGACCATAATTTCTCCTTCTTTCTCATGGCAGGTTATCCGACGGGCTATCCCACCGCTGCTCCAGCCTACAACCCAAACATGTATCCAACCAGCAGCCCCGGCTACGCCCCAGGTAAGGATCTATGTACGAAGACAAGACTGGGGATGTTGTTGAAGGGTCCAGGAGGATTCCCTTTTTGCTGCTCATTGGTCAAAATCCAGCAGCTCCATGTGTTTGACAGCAAGTACTTCCCAGGGAAGGGGCTTGTGTTGAGCTCTTCCCTTCCTAACTCGGTCATTAACTTCATGCCCTGCACTGGGAATATTTGTCTGTGTTGCAAAGTATTTTTGAGCCAGGAATTGTATCCTGATGCTAATCCCAGGGATTTTACAATCCTCACCACTGTGATACCTGCACACTGACGGCTTTTAATATCTTCTGAATACTGCCTGGTGTCTCCCCAGGATTGCCTTCACCTTCCCTCTGCTCGTCCTTCCCTCCTCCTTCCATGTCATAGGTGCAGAAATGGTAGCAACCCTGTCCTGTTCGGTGTCTGGATCTCCCATGCTGTGTCTTTACTGTCCTGTCTTTTCCTGACAGACCCTAGTCTGTCCTAGGGTCATCTTCTGTCCAGCTCCCACCCTTCACACCACCCCAAAATGGCTCTTCCAAAGAGGCAGCAAGCTCTTCCTGGCCAGACTTGCTTACCCTTCTGCCTTAGCCTTGCTGTGCTGGTTGTCTCTGACAGCCCCAGCTGCACTCTTCTCCATAAGATCTTGTTTTCCTTTGGCATTCCAAGCTTGGACACTTGTTTCGTGTCTCTGTTGCAGTGTGTCCATTGGGAGATATTTGTCATCTGCCTCTTTCAGCTTTCCATGAACCACCCTACCAGCCAGGCTGATGTTCATCCTCTATAGCTCAGCCCTACCCTGGCACTCTGCTCTCTGCCATCTCCAGCCTTGGCAAATTCTCCTCCATCCTTCTGGAGAGCTGCTACAAAACAGATCTCCCCAGTCCACTGCTTTAACCGTGTCATAGAATAGAATCATGGAATGGTTTGGGTTGGAAAGGACCTTAAGATCTCCCAGTTCCAACCCCCTGCCATGTGCTGGGGTGCCTCACATCCCCCTCTTTGCTCCCTCTTGCTCGTATCTAGCACAGGCTACGTGTCCTTGCTTAAAGAAGCAATGTCCAGTCCATTCATTCTTGGTGTCTGGAGCCTTACAGCTCTTTTGGCTCAGCCAACAATGTCTGTCCTTTTCACCTCTTCCCAAACAAGTGTCTCCCTTGTTCCTTTGCTTCCTCTCCTTGGAAGGAGGCTTCTCCTGTCACCCACAAAGCCATTTTTCACTTGAATTCCTCTATTAGCCATGGGTTTTATTAACAAAAGGCCATAACAAGAACTGCCAAGCTCCTCCCCTTCCCTGCTGAGCACCTTTTCTCCACACCTCCCTTCTGGCTGGTTTCTGCTGTTCTGTCTTGGCCAGACACGTACTGAGCCCATGGCTCTGGTTGCTCTATGGATGCAAAGAAAGGTCTGGATGGGGAAGGACACTCACACATCCACAACCTTCCTGCCTGGCTGGAGAGAGCTGGAGAGGCAAAAGCCATCAAAGCATCTGGGTGGCAAACCCAGTCATGCCCTGTGCATCACTTTGGGGTCGAACACCTCTCTGCATGAGGTGGAGAGACAGGGGAAATGCTTATAGCCAAGGGCTGCCAATGGTAGGAGATTAGGACAGAATCTAAATGAACCACAGGGGCTGCTGTCAGATAACTTCAAGGACACTTCTTATTCCAGGAGAGCTGAACCTCCCACTGTTTTGAAGTCCGAGCAGTTACTCCAAAGCAGGATTCATGGAGTAATTCCCACCTTTCCAAAAGGAGTCGTCTTCAGCACAGCATGGACCCATGCTCTGTGCTTAGTAAGGAATATTTGAGTTCCTCTGCTAAAACAATCCGTTGCTTTTCTATGCTTTTGAGCCCGAATTTGGAAACCTTTACAGAAGTCTTTTCCTTTTTGGAACTGAAGACTTCTGGTAGGCCTCCACTCAGAAATCCCTGAAGTCAAAGCCACATTTAAGCACTTTGCTGAAGCCAACCCTTCAGAAGGACCAAGTTACTTGGAGTTTTTGAAGCCTGGTTTAGCTTCTCTGCTTTCAGCCAAATTCCCTGGGGGACCTCAGAGCAGCCTTCCAGTATCTGAAGGGATGCTGCGGAGGGACTCTTCATCAGGCACTGCAGTGACAGGACAAGGGGTAACAGCTTCAAACTGAAACAGGGGAAGTTTAGATTGGATCTAAGGAAGAAGTTCTTTACTGTGAGGGTGCTGAGGCACTGGGATGGGTTGCCCAGGGAGGTTGTGAATGCTCCATCCCTGGCAGTGTTCAAGGCCAGGTTGGACAGAGCCTTGGGTGCCATGGTTTAGTGTGAGGTGTCCCTGCCCATGGCAGGGGGGTTGGAACTGGATAATCTTAAGGTCCTTTCCAACCCAAAGCATTCCGTGTTTCTATGATTCTGTGGAAGCTCTTGGCATGGCAAAGGGTGGGAGAAACCCAAGGGCTAAGTAGCAGTTTCAAAAGGTATTTCTTGTCCAGAGTGAAGGAAGTGAAAAGGAGTAGAAGGAAAGGAACTCTCCTATTGAGGTTTTGTTGCCCAGAGAAGCTGTGGCTGCCCCATCCCTAGCAGTGTTCAAGGCAAGGTTGGACACAGGGGCTTGGAGCGAGCTGCTCTAGTGGAAGGGGTCCCTGGAACTGGATGAGCTTTAAAATCCCTTCAATCCAAACCCCTCTGTGATTGTAAATCATGACTTTTTACATGTTTCTCATGAAAAAGGCCTCCAAAAATCTCTTTCTCACCCATTTCCAAGCACACACTGGAGCTGAAAGATAATATCTCCCCCTTCGCTTTGACCTTGTGGCTCTTTAGTTGGTCGAGATGTTTATTGTGAAGGCTTCACCTCCGGAGAGCTGTGGGATTTGCAGCCTCCTGAATAAAGCCTCTTTCAGCTGAGTGTTCAGTAGTCACTGGAGTGAAATAGCCACTTGCATAAGGAGCACAAAGCTGGACCTTGTGTCCATCTCCCTAATCCCTTTCTTCTCTCCATTGCCAAGTTTTCAGTCTCCCACTTGTCATAAAAATCCATGGATCCCAGGAGCTTTCCAAGCTGATCAAGCAGGAATGAGGGCATCATTGCCAGAACCTTTTGGTGCTGTCTTCTCCCCATCACAGTTTCAATGCAGTTTTACTTTGCAAGGTTGCTGAATCAAGCTGTTTCCTGCAGATGACTCTGTGAGGGATCTGTTGGCTTTTACTTGGGTTTATTGGCTTCTGGTAGGGTCTTCAGGTGCATTGCCCATGGCAGGGGTTGGAACGGGATGATCTTTAAGGTCCTTTCCAACCCAAAGCATTCCGTGATTCTGTGATTTCTTCCCATTAATGCGTAGTATGAAACAAGTTTTCCTCCCCTGAGGGATATAATACAAGTGAAAAGAGCTTCCTAGCATTAAAAACCCCACACATTTAATAGTAGCTTGTCCTGCCAGAGGCTGGGAACATCCTCCCTGCTCAGCCAGGGATGTAAATCCTGCAGCATTGCTGCCTGTGGGTCTGGACTTAGAATCCCAGACTGGTTTGGGATGAAGGGACCTCAAAGCTCATCCAGCTCCAACCCCTGCCACAGGCAGGGACCCCTTCCACTAGAGCAGCTTGCTCCAAGCCCCTGTGTCCAACCTGGCCTTGAACACTGCCAGGGATGGGGCAGCCACAAGTGCTCTGGGGAATTCTTGTCCCCAGCCACTCGTGCAGGCAGCAGCTCCACCATTGATTCCCAAAGGGACACCCAAGTGAGGGGAAGCACCAAATCACTGCAGGACATGGAATTCGGGGGGGGAGCTGTATTGCTCTTTGTACATCTCTAGCACCATCCTTGGGAGCTCCAATTGGACGCCGTGTGGAAACAACCCTCAGGAATGATGTGTTGCTCTCCAAACAAAATACTTCTCTTTGCAAAAACGTGGTGGAATGCACACATTGCCCTGGAAGGATTTAATTTCAGCTCGGTTTGATTTTCCAAATGAAAAATAAGAAGGAAAAAAAACAAGTAGGAAATCTTGCAGCAATTTGCCACATCTGGGAATATTTGGTTCCCTTCAGCTATGTAGACCTTAGGTCTCTAAGCCTTTGAGCCCAGGTCCTTCTGTACTCAGTGGAGAGAAACAGAGACCTCCCTATAGAGGAGGTTTAGCCTCTCCATGGGTTCCTGTCTGTCCTACCAGCAGAGCTTGAGTTGCATCCTGCCTGGATGTCCATCATGCTCATGAGGAACAGGAACCCAAAGAGGGTTGTAGATACTTTCTCAGGTAACTCTGATACATAGTTGAGATACCCCCAGAGAAGGAGACCTTTAGGATGATGTTTTATGGGGTTGTTTCCTTGGCATGGGTTAGGATAGTAGGAATACATTGAGAAATGGGACCTGGATGGTGTGTGAAGTGTAGTTCTGGGGTGGGCCGGGGGACAAGCCTCGTTCTACTGAACAGAGAACTTGCTTGCACTCACAAGAAGGGCAAGAAAGAATGTCCCATGGCAGGCAGCAAAGAAATGGTCAAGAAGACTGAGAAGAAGGAAACACACAGGGATTGTGAGACACCAGGCAATTGGGGATCACTCAGGTGAGCAGCAGTGAGCCCGTGGGCAGCTCTTTACCCCTGTCTGTAGTGACAGGACAAGGGGTAATGGGTTAAAACTGAAACAGGAGAGGTTTAGATTGGATCTAAGGAAGAAGTTCTTTACTGTGAGGTTGCCCAGGGAAGTTGTGAATGCTCCATCCCTGTTCAAGGCCAGGTTGGATGAAGCCTTGGGTGCCATGGTTTAATGTGAGGTGTCCCTGCCCATGGCAGGGGGGTTGGAACTGGATGACCTTAAGGTCCTTTCCAACCCAAGCTGTTCTATGATTCTGTGATTCTTTTTGATCCCCATCATTCCTGCAATGGCATCTACAACCTGTGTCCTCCACCCAGCAGAAAGGAGCCCCCACACTCAGCAAGGACCAGGTTGTCCATCCCCCTTGGTCTGCCCTCCCTGAATACAGCCACATTTGCCTTCAGAAGCTTCCTCACATTGTTCAGGAT